GGAGCGGCCGCTGCGTGCGCTGGATGCACCACGTCGACTTGTTCGTCGACGTCTTCTTCCTCGCGGACATCGCGCTGACCTTCTTCACGTCCTACGTCGACGAGGTCACGGCCGAGGAGGTCACGGACCGGCGGTGCATCGCGTACCGCTACGTCTTCGACCCCTTCGCGGGCAAGTGGATCGTCTTCGACGCCATCGCGTCGCTGCCGACGTCCTTCTTCGGGTGCGCGGGCGGCGGGATCCTCGAGTACGTCAAGTTCATCCGCTTCACGAAGCTCTTCAAGATGCTGCGGATGCTCAAGATCAACTCCATCGTCGACACGCGCCACATGCCCTTCTTCCACCCCGTCATGATGCGCTTCATGCGCATCTTGCTGGGCCTGCTCTTCGTCTGGCACCTCTTCGCGTGCCTCTACTGGCGCGTCGCGCGGTCGGAGGAGTACTGGAGCACGGGATGCGACCCGGCCGCGTTCAGCTGCTGGATCCCGCCGAAGCGCGTGCGCGACGCGCCCTTCTTCCGCCAGTACTCCTATGCGCCGCCCCGCGTCCCCCGCGTTCGCCGCGCGCGCGCGCGCGGAAGCGTCGGAATACCCGAGGGCGCACCGCGCGGCCGCCCGACGAAACCCCCCCCCCCCGCAGGCCTACCTCTGGGGCTCCATCCACTCCTTCGGGTCCGTCTTCGCCGTGCCGACGACGACGCGGACCATGTGGACGACGGCGTCCGTCGCGATCGTCGGCCTCGTCGTCAACGCGATCGTCATCGGCTCGGCGACGAACGTGTTGGACGGCTTCCACTCCATCGCCAAGCAGCACCAGAAGCGCAAGGACGGCGTCAACCACTACATGCGCTGGCAGAACTTCCCGCCGGAGACGGTGCGGCGCGCGAACGACTGTCGAGGAACCTGTGTGGAAATCAACCACTGGTTTGGGGGGTCCCCACCAAACTTCAGAACTCTCTATCTCAATCAAATCGAAGTCGATTCGGCTGATTTTTGGACGGATCGATTGCTCTGTCGAGTTCTCGAAGCACAGTGAAAGAGTCTGGTCCAAATCGTTCGATTACGCGCACCTTGAATTCGGGTTGAAGATTTGATTTCCACACAGTCCTCGACTACCAGTGGGCGACGGGCACGACGGTCGACGGCGCCGAGGTCATGAGGGACATGCCGCCGCCCTTGCAGCTTGAGATGCGCATGTGCCTGAACCGCAAGATCATCGACACGCAGCCCCTGTTCTGGGAGCTCGGGCCGAAGCTCATGATGGTCCTCGTGACCGCGCTCAAGGCGCACATCACGACGCCGAACGAGACGATCCTGCGCGAGGGCGACCACGGCGACCTGCTCTTCTTCCTCGTGCACGGCGAGGCGCTGGCCTACTGCGACGGCGACGAGGGCGACCGGAAGAAGGCGCTGCTGCGCGCGGCGAAGGCGCGCGTCGCGCGCCGGCGGCTCCTCGCGGCCAAGGGCGGCGTCATCGCGGGCAAGCCCCTCGCGCGCGAGGCCGCGCTGCTGCACGAGGTCCTGCGGCGCAACACCAACGGCGTCCGCGGCGCCGAGGACGAGCACTTCGCGCCGCCGCCCGCGCGCGGGCCCCGCGCGACGACGATCAACGGCCTCGGCCGCCGCGTGGACGCGGGCGGCCTGCGCGGGGGCTCGGGCCCGCCCGGGTCGTCGCCGCCCGCGGGCTGGCGCCGCCAGCTGCAGAGCAGCGACGGGCCCGCGGCGGACGACGGCGACCGGCGCGACGGCGTCGCGCGGAAGACGCTCATGCGCACGATGACGGACACGGTCAAGTTCGTCTTGAGGTCCCGGTCCTTCAAGAACCAGTCGCTGGACCGCGTCGGCGTCGTCCACGGCGACGCCTACGTCGCGGAGGAGGCGCGGGACGACGGCGGCGGCGACGACGACGACTACCAGCACGTCATTTTGCTCTCCGTGCTGAAGATCGGCGCCGTCATCGGCGAGATCGCCCTGCTCAGCGAGGACGAGAAGCGGACGGCGTCCGTGTTGACGACGCAGCACTGCGAGCTCTACAGCCTCGACGCGGAGAACTTCAACTTCATTAGGAGCTCGCACGCGGAGTGGCACGAGATCCTCGTGCACAGCGCGGAGCAGCGCGTGACGTGGTCGAAGCAGATGAAGGCGCTCGTCAACGACGACGTGTCGCCGGACGACGCGGCGGCCGTCGAGCACGCGAACAACTTCCTGGCCAAGCGCCGCGCGACGGCGTCGCGCGTCGTCGCGCCGTTCCACGCGACGTCGACGACGATCAAGCGCGACGGCCAGAGCCACTGGGACTACATGAAGCAGACCAAGGTCGCGCCGACGCTGTCCGCCGCCGGCGACATGCTCCGCAACTCGTCGAGAGGCATCGACCGCGTCCACCGCATCTCCAGGGAGATCAACGACCGCCTCCGCAGCTCGTCCCTCCGGCGGTCCAAGAACAACGGCGACGCGACGGACGGCGCGGCGGCGAACGGCGGCACCGACGCGCTCGTCGACTCCGCCGTCCGGCGCATGTCCAAGGAGCCGGAGCCGCCGCGCGCGTGAGCCCCTGTTTACCTCGCTTGTTTTTCTATGTCNCTGGGGGGCGGGTGCGGGTGGGCACGCTAGCGTACAGGTAGTTCTAGTAATGTGAGGAAC